AGAAATATTATTTGATGTTGAAAATACGATAACTTAGTCTTCTTGTCCAGTTTGACTTTATAGCCAGTAATTGTGAAGAAACAGTAATTGTTTTTAGAATATTTCGTTTTTTACTTTACTAATTAGTATTAATATATATATATATATTAATTATTACCCAATTAAATAATACAGTGATATGGTCGGTCTTATAAAAACGTGGTATTTATACCCGCAGTAACAAATAGTGCTTGCTATATAACTCCGAAAACAGAGATTCTTAGTATTTCATTGCTGTAAATAGAGGGCGCAAAATTAGATCGAAAGCGAGAATAGTAATATATTACAAACAACTGTTGTGGTCTAGCCGTCAAGGGCGTGTTTAATCTTACATAAAGTTTGCTACCAAGATTTTTTTTTTACCTATTAAGTTCATAACATATAATTATGTTTAACCTTATCTTCATGATGCATACGCTGTTTCACATTAGCTGAAATGTTAACTTGAATTTGGAAGAATGGATATATAAGACAACGATTACGTCTATAGTTTATTCTACAGAAGACCTGCTGTTCTATTTCTGCATATCAGTGTAGAACTTTAATACGTAAACATACAGTATATTCGATGGTTACCTTCTTTAATACGGAGTTTTCACTACATTAATCGGTTCTTTCAAATAATCGGCGTTTTTCATGTTAAGCCAAGCGTAAACAAGATCGACATTGTTGAAATCTCCTGGTGGTGGTTGGAAGCGACGGAAAGTTCGCTTGCCACTGGAAACAAGTAGAAGAACAATATAGATTTTAGTATACAGGGCCTACTTTTTGAATATTCAATTAAATTAATCAAATTTTCTTTCTTAACACTGGGAGTTAAATGTTCAAACATCCTATTTTACGATACAACATAATTTTCATGATGCTGAAATAAAGTTTTCAATATTTTCCCCCTTAAATACGTTAAAAACAATTGTTACTTTCTTAGGCTTAGTGTGTATTCAATAGTTAAAGAACACCCAACAACAAGCAGGACTGATGCAAAACTATGGCGATAAAACCATTAAAAAGGTAGTTTCAAGATAAAATTCCAACTTGGCAATGAATGATGTTAAAACTCTAGAGTTAACTTGACTTAACGTTTTTAATAGTCAGCTCTTGAGTATCCATTAACACAAAAAAACGGAAAACATTTGGAACCCACACTCAAGATTTACCATAATTAAACCACGCGGCCAAGTGAGAATGAAAATGATTGCACTGAATCAAACAAATTATTAGTCCTAGACAGCAGCGGCTCAAAACCTTGTTGTAAATCGCCTTGTAACTAAACTCAGTTCTGAATGGCTTGCATAAAGTGTCTAGATTACTTGGCAGGACACAGTGCGATATTTGACTGCATCTTCACTTCAGTGTTGAAATAGAATAAACATTAACTTAAATTATTTAGGGTGACAGCAGCTTGATTATGGATAAAATTGGGAGTAAAAAATGCTACCGAGGTTTTTGCAAGAGTTTGAATAACCCCACTATTATCTTTCTTGCAAATGAACCAAGTACCTCCTCACAATTAGTAGATTCGTGAAATATAGGCTGTACAGTTTTGGAGCTGATTCTGCCGATCGTTTTAATTATTTATGCCCCCTGATTAATAATGGTCACTAAGTTATTGACCCTAATTATCTTATCCAATTTTATGGTGCTGATTAACAGATGTCTAGAAATTAAATACTTAACAATTATTTTAAAAGTACATGTTACAACAGTATACACTCCTGAGATTAAGCTAGAAAAATCTGAAGTTCCCCTAAATTTCAATATTATCTCTTCATCTCCATGAACAATTGCAGAATAAATTTTGTATTTGTTACAGCTAGTCTAATACGGACAATTGGCCAGATCAATTTCAAAACTCAGGAATACATAGGTTATGGTATATAGATTTTCCGGTTACAGTATCCTAACTAGTGTTAAATATGTAATATAGTGCTATACGATCGGAATTAACTTTCTCTCTGCTATTAAACGATAACAGATAGGTGAAATGCAAGATACAGAGTGAGAGGACGACAGAAGAAGGTTAAACACGAGAGTCTGAACAGTGTGTTAAAATAGATTCAACATGATAATTAGCAATGTGCAAACGAATCGAAGTAAAATACTGAGCTTAACAGCAAGAATTGTACATTCGCACAAATGCTAAAGTCCTCAGAAAATCGGAATGGTCGATGCCTTTCTAAAGAGGGGCACTCAGCTCCCAGTTGGCTAAAGAGATGCAGGATGGCTTCTGTAACACACTAATGAGAGGCACTCAGCTCCCAGTTGGCTAAAGAGATGCAGGATGGCTTCTATAACACCTAAGGAGAGGCACTCGGCTCCCAGTTGGCTAAAGAGATGCAGGATGGCTTCTGTAACACCTAAGAAGAGGCACTCGGCTCCCAGTTGGCTAAAGAGATGCAGGATGGCTTCTGTAACACCTAAGGAGAGGCACTCAGCTCCTAGTTGGGTTTAAGAGATGCAGGATGGCTTCTGTAACACCTAATGAGAGACACTCGGCTCCCAGTTGGCTAAAGAGATGCAGGATGGCTTCTGTAACACCTAAGGAGAGGCACTCGGCTCCCAGTTGGCTAAAGAGATGCAGGATGGCTTCTGTAACACCCAAGGAGAGGCACTCAGCTCCTAGTTGGGTTTAAGAGATGCAGGGTGAATTCTGCCTTCATTCCACAGTCAAATAGTTGAGAAAATAAACAAATCAGTCGAAAAAACCTTCCGATGAGTGGCTATGGCAATATGGACAAGTTCTTTAAGCATTTCAGGTAAGTAATTTCTTAGAATGGTTGGATTCAAAGATAGTTGATGGAATACCTGATGCTGAGTTTTGATTGCCTTAGTCCATTGTTGAAAGTGGTAAAATATTAATATATAGATTATTAAAAGGAGAAATAAATGAAGTTAAGTACTACATATGACCAGGCATGACCTAGTGGTTAGCCAAAAGGTCCAAGATTCGAACCACTTAATGCGCTCCATATTTTTTGTTGTGGGAGTATTTGTACCTGAGAGTGAATTCTGTTATTCGTTTAAGAATATTTATGTCGTTGGTGGACGCTGCTTACTGGTTTCATCTACTCATTTACTAAGCAGTAAAATGTAGGGCTGACTTTGTCTGAGTTTGGGATTTCTGTATTACCCATTTATCCAACATGTTGTGTAAGATTGAAAATATTAAACCAAGTGCTATACAATAGTATGGTATAGTTAAATTTCTGTAGAAGATTCTGGAATAGCTAATGTCAATAAACATAGACAATGAAACGGTATGTGTATATCTAGAGTAAATCTACATTATAATATAGCGGTAATAAAAGTCGTTATGTTGGTTTATGTTTGTCTCTGAGGAAATATTAGAAGAAAATGGGAAAAGATAAAATATATTTCTAAAAGAAAATACTAATTAATTTAACGACTGCCGGTACACATAAGAATTGTATATTAGAGAGGTTGAGTACGTTATAGTAAAACGATAATGGAGTCTCACCAAGTCGTTACAGTCCATGTAACCACGTCTGGTCATACTCTATCTAATGATTGTCGTCTTAACAATATCCCTGAATCATAGTTTCTATTGCAAGAGGCTACGTTGTAAGGCTGTCATGTCCAAAGCACACCACTACTTCTTGTTTGTTTTTAATTATCCCCCTAGTGTACGAAGGCAACGGTTTTCCAGCGCCTTCCAGTTGTAAGATCACACAGAAATCCATAGACTTGATAGGTATATTTGCGTATAAAATACCATGAATACCCATTTCATTATTTAGCTGCTTGAAGTGTGCAACAATTAGACGGAAGGTATGACTGAAAGCTTTATCTTGGTGAACCCATGCACTGATGGCCTTGTTTCCGGATAGAGATCCTTGAATATGTTGCCTACTGTTGTCTGGGGCACGTGGACGGATTTTTCTAGTGACCTTTGTGTTCGTGGACAATCGCCTGTTACAAAACGCCACATTTTGCATACTGTGGCTGGAATACGACTTGTTGCAGGTCTCTTTCTAGGTGTTCTTGGTTGTTCATGTTTATCCATTTTTTTGTGTTACAATGCCATTAAGTACAAGGAATATCCTCATCCTGGAAATTCTAAATTCCCGATCTGAAAAGATCTTTAATATATGAGTGTATGAATAATTTGTGTCATAAGGAGCTGTTACATACCCCGCGGTGTCACACTACCTACGTAACGCCAAACAATATCAAAATGTAGTTCTGATACATGCCGTTTCACCGCGATTTTATAACGGCTGTGGTTGTCAAGTGATTCGCTTATTTATATATTTAAAATCGTTTTAATATAACATATTCCTGCCTCTGTACAACTTATGCATCGTTTGTCAAGTTTAAACTTCAAGAGTTTGAATTATAACTGGTATTACAAATTATGTGATAACCAAAAGATCCTGTAAATCAAAATTACTCGCTGAAAAAAACTTAGTTTTTTTATATATTTAGCTTTTAAATCTTTGTTTTCCAATTTTATATTGCATATTACTTTTTGTTGTTGTTGTTTTTCTCTCATTTGTGCTTAGAATAGAAAGAGAGAGAGAAAAAAAGAAGTTAATTCCGGTCAGTTCTACCATAAATAAACACCATCTTTCAGTGTGTTTAAAAACACGTAACTTGTATACTTACTTCTTCATTCATTCTTTAATCCTAGTTTTGACTACTTACATTTTTACTGGATCAAAAATGCCGTAGGCCACTGGTTTACTTAATGCCAGTCTAGTTTCTATTTCTGCTAGTCTGGAGTCTGATATACCACTTCTTCGTTCTCTGTTAATAGACAAACACCTTTTTATTTTCAATGACACATAATTATAACAATTAATAACATGAACCCGATTTTCAGCAGAACGGCCCTTATTTCCATCTCTAAAGTATCTGTGTTTGTTTCGAAAATTCTCACAAAGTTAATCAATAGCTGTCTGCGCTAGCCGTCCACAATTTTAAACTTACAAACTGAAGAGAAAGCGCCTGGGCAATTGACTCTAGGGCTACTCTTGTCTGTTCGGATAGTAGGATTTGACCATCAATGTTTATCATATCTACGGCCCAAAAGTGTGAAGGGCGTTTTTGCAGCAACAGAACCTGAACAAGAAACAAATCTAAAGTATGGTTTCAAATGTTAATTTTGAGCAGTATTTATAATACCTACGTTCTGAATTAGACCACAATAGACGACTTCTCTGAGAACAGAAATTAGTCCTGTATTTTATAAATAATTATATTATCATCACACCATTATTCGGGAACAGTATGTACCCGGGGTTGGGGGCAAAGTGTAAAGCAACATATATATATATTTACTGAATGAATAAAGAAAGAAATATGTTTCTCATTTTTTTCAGGGACGTCCACGTGTGTACCTTACTCTCAGCTTGTTGGATTACAAGGGCAAACAGTAAACTGGTATGAAGTAATAGTGGACGTAATTAACGTTAATTACAACATCTAGTTATTACGTTATTCAAATACCCGAAAAATTAAAATTAGATTTCTGTAACTGAGGACTTGCTTCTTGGCATCGGACACGCGCAGAGAATTTGTTTGTTTTTGTTTTGTTTTTTTGGAATTTCACGAGGGCTATCTGCGCTAGCCGTTCCTAATTTAGCAGTGTAAGACTAGAGGGAAGGCAGCTAGTCATCACCACCCACCGCCAACTCTTGGGCTACTCTTTTACCAACGAATAGTGGGATTGACCGTCACATTATAACGCCCCCACGGCTGAAAGGGCGAGCATGTTTGGTGGGATGCGGATTCGAACCCGCGACCCTCACGCGCAGAGAAAGAGCTGGTGTTGAGTTATAGGGATATAATATATTCATAAAGAAGTGGGTACGTGTACGTGTGTGTGTGTGTGTGG